ACAGATTCGGAAACAATTTGCAGTCTGTGTACTTCAAGGATATCAATTTAGTCAATCACTGGATAGTAGCAATAAGGTCTTTTGATTTAAATACCTCAGGTAAAATTTGGACCTTGCAGAAAAACATTTGGATAAACCCAGAAACTGGGAGAAGAAGGGTACTCAGCCAAGACAGGCTGAGTGCAGAAGAAACATGACACAAGCACATATTATACTCACTATGATGGCATTGTATTGCAGAACTCCAAACTTACAAGCATTAACTCTTCATTCTGTTCTAACCCATAGAAATTTAAGTAAACCATGGATTTAAGCACCTTAAACATGCCTTGAGACATACTTCCAGTGAGAAACAGCTTTCAGATGCAGAAACTATTATCCCCAGTAACATATCTATTTAACAAGACCTAAAACATTTAACCACAACCACGAATCTAACAAACCTAAAACCACATCCCTTGACACTTTGGAAAGAATATATTAGAAGTTAAATCTAAAGCTAGTCTGCAGCTGGAATAATTTACAGACAAGACTTGTCTTTTATATCAGACATTGTGTTTTTTTCCACTAGCAGGTTCAATACATCTTCTGTCAGGACAGAGTGAGATTTATTACTCATGGTGAATGAGTTGCACACATATAACCAAGTTTTCCAATAGCACTTTGATAGATGCTGAAGTTCTCTGAAAGATCTAAGCTACCTTCTTTTAAGCAAGGCAGATTTACAACTTGCAGCAACAGAATTGTTGATCTTACCACCACTCCTCCTGAAGAAAGAGATTTCATTAGTTTAGGATATATAAGAAACAGAAAGCTTTCAGTTCTGTATTTGATGCTTTCAGGAGAAAAAAAATAATCCAAAAAACCCAACAAAATACACACAGAAGAAAAAGAGTATTTACTGCTTAGAAGGGAAACAACAGCAGAAGGTGTCATAGCACTTCTAGTTCAAGCGACTAGAAATAGAAAAGCAAGTGCTGTCTTGTGGCAGCAGTGGTAACAGTGGCTTGCTGGCTTACAACAGTAAACAATCCAAGGGAAACAGCCATAGAATTAAAAAAAAAAAAAAAAAAAAAAAAAAAAAAAAAAAAAAAAGCCACTAAGTCATTAACACAGCCATTCAACCTGATGCCCACTATGACTTGCCCAACAGTTACAGAGTCTTTGTCTACAGGACTAACTATACTCTGATGAACCAACTCCTTGTCCGTGTTGAAGACCAGATCTTCCATTACAGCATTTACCAGATTTCCCCACCCACTTCAACAGGCATACAGCAATCTCCACTGACAGAGGTCTTGACCATTAAGCACCAGCTGATCCAATCCAACTCTTCCATTCCCAATCAGAATGCAATTACAGGATCCTGCAGCAACTTGAGCCCTCTCACAGGCCTTGCTAGAGCTTAGATTTTGCACAATGGACCCGCTAGTAAGCTAACCCTAGAAAGGTGGTAAAAGAGCATGAGACTGCTTTGCCCCAATCCAAACAGGCCATTTGCAAAGATGTTCCAGATCTGTGAATTCCTTAGCTAGCTCCAAGTGCGAGCAGAGCACATGCAGCTCTGTCTGAATCTTTCTGTATAGACATGCCACAATACCTTTTAATTTCCTAGGCTGTACATATAAACCATCACAGAATTCCAGGAGTATATGTGTGTGTGTGTATGTATATATATATATATATATATATATTTCCTTTTTGACAATCTGGGCAACACCTAGCAGTCAGCCTAGAAGCATAATGACAACTGCTAAATCTATCATGGGCAACACTGCTTAAGAACTAGATAGATAAAAACCACTACCTAAGGCTTAAAAGTTGCTGTAGCATGTGAAAAGGAAGCATTCTTGCCTCTGACATGATTCCCTAAATTGAAATATAAAACATTTAAAACAGGAAGCATTTCTATTTGACAAATAAATACAAAATCTAACATCACGGACCCTATGTATAATGTTCACATATATGTGAAAATGATAGCTTTCTGGATAAATAACATTTTTTGTTTTTCACAACTATCATAGCCTTTTTTTTTATCTAATGGGAATATAAACTTGAAGACGTATGATACAGTTAGCATATAAACATCTTCCAGAGGTATGAACTAATCATCTTAGGAAAACGTACTAGGCAGCATCTTGCCCTTCATGAGAAGTAATTACTTTAGTGTGTCTTTCTAACAAAAGGTGTGAGAACAAAATCAAAGTCAACAAAGTAACAACTCACCAAATTACCACTCCTCAGATGATAGACCTGGTGGTTAGTTGATTTCAGTTTGTAACTTCCTATTACCATAAAAATGCATATTCATATATTAATACAATGAATTTAGCAGAGGGGATATCTGGAGAACCAACCTAGAACTGATGATTACAGAAACAAATGACCTTGTTAAAGTCACTGCAGGACAAAATCTTCCTTGTTAAAAAGTTTGTATTGTGTATTGAGTTCAAGAACTCTTCTGTGAGAACACTGTGTAAAGCATTTCCTGTAAACCTCCCCCCTCATTCCCCCTCCCCAACCAGTCCCATCACTTACACTGCTACAGCTGTTCATTTCATTGTGGAATAAATTGATATGGATTAACTACAGTGCTGTAAAAGATACCTGGGTTTGGTTTTTTCCTTTTAATAAGAATGATTTCCCCAATTTGTGTTGCCACAAGTAAGGAGGCTGAGTGGGCCAGAGCAAGGAACTAGGGGAGAGAAGAAACAGCGTGGCAGGGTCTAAACTTCCACCCTCTGCTCGTGAAACTATGGGTTTAGTGAATGTGTATGACTTCCTCAAATCATGAAAGAGTTCATTGCAACTGAGAGATTAGATATTTTCTGTATTGTCTTTTGCAAATGAAGTTTATTTAGCTTTATTTAATTTGCATAAATTAGTAGTTCAAAAAGCCCAGATCCTCAGAGGGGATGTAACAATGTAATGTAGGGGATGTAATCAGCTTTTGTCTGGCATCTCTGGAATTAGTGATTTACAGCGAGAACCTTCTCTGAGAAGACAGGCTGTGTTGACAGTAAATGACACAAAGGACCGTTATCAAACGATCACAGAGTTTGCATTAGTAAAGAGGAAGATGTCTGCTTTCTTAACTCCTTTATACATTTAATTGAGCTGTGCTCTCATTCAAACAAAGTTATTAATACAGGAGATGTCCAGGGAAAAATTGCAGACCACTTTCTCATGTTGGTGTGATACGAAACTCATTAACAAATTAAGGTACTGCAGACTGGATGGAAACTGGAACAGATGGCCAGTCTACAGGACCACAGGAAGGTATGAGACACTTAAAGGTCTCATTTGTAAAAGACATTTTGAAAAGTATCCTGTCTGCAGGACAACTAATAAGCCAGTGAGAATTTCTTTTCATGATAAAATGCTTTTAGCTGTATGTCCTTGTCTAGTATTCTTTTGTGGATGGATTTCTGTAAAAGTCAGACTGACCATAATAAAACAGTCATAACAAAGCAAGACTGGCTGTTCTGGGCAGATGATAGTAAATACAGTGCTACTGTGAGTCATTTTACCCAGAAGTGATATGTGAAGCTCAACAAAGTTATTTCTCTGTCATTATTCTGGTAGAGGCACACATCGCTAACTTGTGAATGCAGAAAAAAAGGCAGTGAGTGGGGGAACACTATTAATAGAATCTTTTATTATCATGACAAACTAGGGAATGCATTCAAGTTGAGTTTGCATGGTTGTTTAAAATATTAGCATTTTCCCTGTAACATGACAATACTTGATTGGAGATCATTGACAGAAAACACAGATCTGGAGCCTCATTATGACATCTTTATATAGCTTTCCACAATACAGGCATCCTTTACATAAGTTTAAAAAAAAAACATGACCATGAGACAGACAGGAACCAGGATTGCATATACTGGGATAGAAATCTGAATTTTGAAAAACCACAGTGGTTGTTTTTTTTTTTAATGGCAAAGAAAATTGGAGTTACTTATGGTTTAACAAACTTGCACTACTACTTTCTTGGACCACAGATCAATAAACAAGTACATATGCAGCTCAGTGGGTAAAACCAGAGAAAAGCAATTAAGATTGATAACCTGAAAAACTCGGGAAGTTGTTCATTAGCCAAGAAACACTCTTGCAATGTCTCTGCTATGAATTACCTGAGGACCAGCTTGCACCCCAAGCCTATCACCTTGAGGGCCGACATAAAACACAGTTTAAACACCTGAACTTTTCCAAAAACAGGCTTCTCAACTTTCTTTCAAATCGTGGAATGGCTCAGCTATTTCTAAATGCCACTGAATCAAATCCAGTGAAACTTCTAAAAAGACATTGTGACAGTAACCTTTACCATCACTTCCCGACTGTGTTTTGCTTTTCTTTTTTCCTCTTAATAAGGCTTGATCTCACTGTCTGGCTGAACGTTAATCCGCTTTCACCAAGTACCAAACAAATGCTTACTGCATTAATACACTGCAAATCCTCAAGGTATAAGTTACACAGGATACAGTATAAAAGGGAAGCATAGGGCTTTCTTTTCACTACAGCTATTACCAGGAAGGCAAGCAGATTACAGGTAAGTTTTCATCAGATCCTCATTTAGAAATCTGCTTTCAAATTTCTAACACTGTATGTAATAAATTGCTTCTGAAAAGCAGATTATCCTTTGCACTTTCTCTCCCTTGCTTCTTTCTCCTTAAAGACAGGACACATTCTCTGTACAGAAACTTAGATAAAAATATTTCATTGAAAGTGGTATGTTACTCTTGTTATTATTCTGCAAAGATTGCTAACATGCTACTTCAGTTGCTCAGGAAAATCAAACTCTTTTAACAATAAACATATGGATAGATCTATTTAATAGCTTTATCCTATGTTCTCACTGATGTTTCTGAAAGCTTGCTATTATAGAACCACTTGAGGGTAATGTGAAGATTCAATTTCTCCCTGTTATTTCCTGTTGAAAATAACTATACATGCTCCTCCAGTACAGATATATTTTTTGCTTTGTACACAGGATGAAGACAGTTAATTGTTACGTGCTGTTATTTTGCTGGAAAGCAATTTGTTGCAATAGCTGTCAGCTCACCAATATTACTATAGCAGTGGAAAGAGAAGAATGTGAATTCTGTATTACAGTGAATGCCACGTGGTGCTCAGGATACTGCTTCACAAGGGTGAGAATCCTAAATTTAATTTCAAGCACCAAAATTAAATATTTCATGTATGAATAATCCATTTCTCAGTCTGTAACAAACACATAGATAGGATAAGCCTTGTGAAAAAAACAGGTTGAGTAACTGCTGTGCTCTTTAACAGGAAAGTAGATACATAGCCAATCTGAACCACAAAGGGAAAAGTGAAAAGTTGCTAGTAAAATTCAGATCTTCATCTGGCTGCACACATTATGTTTATATTGTATAACTAGAGTTTAAAGTACTGCAATCTGGATCTCTGCCTTGTGTTCAATTTTTGGCTGCAAACAGATGTAATAAAGTAGTCATTAATATGTAGACACCCATACTTTGCCAAATAATTGGAAGAATTAAGTAACTGACCTGCAAGATTATCTGGTGGTGGTATGACACAAATTTGCCATATCTCCTCCTGAAAGGAGAAATCCAAGGATCTAGGTGATATTAGAAGTCTGATCCAAATCTTTTTGATTTCAGTGGGATTTTCACACTGGTTTAATTAATTTTCACAGAAGGTGATATGAAATTTGGAATTCTAACCCATAACAAATTTCAAAATAGGTATTTCCTTCTTGTAATTTTCAGGATCCAGTATATAAATATCCACCAGTATCATCTGTTCAGCAAACATGTACCTTCAAGGAGATTGTGTATGAAACCGTGAAAATCCCCGGCTGTGGTGACCATCCCGAATCGCTGTATTCGTACCCGGTAGCTACAGAGTGCCACTGTGAGACCTGCGACACTGACAGCACTGACTGCACTGTGCGGGGACTGGGGCCATCCTACTGTTCCTTCAGTCAGAATGGAAGTAACCAATGAAGGGTCCTTGAGAGGGCAGTTTGGCTTTCAAAGTTCACTTCTAAATAAAGGTACTGATCGGGCTTAAGTGGAAGACAACAAGAAAGGCTATGTAGAAACTGCCAAGTTTGACACAAAGATTTTTTTAAGGTCAAATTGGAGAGCTACCGATTCAACTTCTCTTCAAGCCTTCCCTACTTATGCCATCAGTTTCCTTAAAATTATATTCATAGGTCTATAGAACACTGCTTCCGATTCCTTCTGCCCTTGCCTCCTCTTCTTCTCTATTACACCTTCAGTCTTTATATTCCTGGATTTCCACTGCCTAGTTTACTTAGCTTATTCTATGCAATCCTATGCTTTCAGAAAGTTCCCAAGTTCCAAGTCCTTACTATCCCCTGCTTTTCATCTCTCCTCAGGATCCATTTATTTTAGAAAGCCTTGCAGCACTTTTTTTCTTACAACCAACATTTGTGTCCTTATTTTCTATTAGTTGGATTGTAAACCTCTCTCAGCTGAGATCCTGACTTTATTTTTGGCAAAATATTTCACATAGTCATTATGTTTTGTAAATAATAACAGCATGTTTATTGAAGAGCCAAAAATCTATGTTCAGATGTTCAATATCACCTGAATTCTTGTGCTTTCTCAGTAAGGCATGTTAGTTCAGGCTCAGTGCCACAGTAACACAAATAACATGAACTCTAGTTCATACCTGGGTAACTTGAATTATCAGCTGTCTACTTTCACCTGAGTAAACTGACTATCCTAAGTCAGTTAAACAATTCTGAAAATTTTGCCAAATATCAGAAACACTGGATTTCCTCTCATTATGCAACAGAATGTAATAATGAGATTTTTTTTTTTTAACACTAACATAGGAGTCTCACAAATTAGATTAATCCAGAGGCACCTGATCCCAGAAGTGCAAACATGGTGTGATAACATGCCTTGAAAGTAGTTCACGGTAGTCCCTCTGAGAATGGAAATTCATAGAGTTCTTCAGCAACCTAATCCTGCAATGGCCAGTATGAAGTCAAGGTGGTCTGGAAGCAAACTGGAGGACTGTCTGAATCAGAATGAAAAATTATCTCACATGATTGGGAAAATTACCTGAAACCTAGAGAATGAAATCCAATCAGGAAAATGAAAAGAGGCTGATAGAAACAATCACCTACACAGAATGGAGAGCAACTGGTTCAGCAGCAGTTTGGCACTGAAGACTTGGAGGTTATACAAGCGAAGTGTGAGTCAACAGTATCACACCACTGCGGGAAAATGCAAATGTAAGGAGTAGAGCCTACAAGGCACAACCTACATTCACCATTCAGTTCAACACGATAGGGGCCTCAGCTGAGTTGTTATTTCCAGCTTTGGACACAGAACTTCAAGGCATTGAAAAACTGGAGAAAATCCACAGAAGAATAATAAGAATGGAGAGGGGCCTAAAAAAAACATGTTAGGAGAAAAACATGTAAATAAATGAGGATGTTTTGCTTATGGGAAGTAACACTTGGGGGGGGGGGGGGGGGGG